TGAGGATGTTCCCCGTCCAACTGGGTATTAGCGAGCTCAAACCCAGCTCCCGGGTAAGTGTGGTACCCGCATACGAGTCCGCCAAAATTTTTTTCGGGTAGGTTCATAACTCGGGAATTTGAGAAGCTAGAACGCTGAAATCTTAAGAGGATGTTTCCCGTCCAACTGAGTGTTAGTGAGCTCAAACCCAGCCCCCGTGTAAGTGTGGTACCCGCGACAAGTCCGCCAAAATTTTTTTCGGACAAGCTGGTAACTCGAGTACCTCAGAAGCTAAAGGGCTGTAATTTTAAGAGGATATACCCCGTACACCTAAGTTTCATCCAGCTCAAACCTAATTCTCGGGTATGCGTGTTAAACTCGCACAGGCCCATGAAAATTTTTTTCCAGTAAGTTGCTAATTCAGGAGCCAGGGAAGCTGGAAAGCTGAAATTTCAAGGGGAGTGTTTTCTGACAGTTCTGCCGCCAGCCTTAATTTGTTTAGCTCTAAGCATTTGCCGAAAAAGCCGGTGCCGGTAGCAACAAAAACTGCGGGGAACTGTGCAAAAAACGCATCTTCGCATGGGCGGGCCGTGCGTTGGCCAATTATTCTTTCTTGTCCTTTCTTTTTTGCTTTTCATTACATATCCTGGGAAAAAAGCCTTTCATATTTACAAAACTTTGCTTTATCGTGTGCCGTTTCTCGGTTTTGAAATTTGTGGTGTTTTTTAGCCCCTGCGTGGATTTTTTTGTCCCACCGAAGAAGTTTGGGAGTGGCCCGAATGGTAGCACTTTGCCATTAGCAATCGCCCACCACTGTCAAGGCTCTCTCTGTGTTTCCGCCTTCCCAGGACTGTAAAAGAAAGCAGTTCGGGTAACTTTTGTATGAGGTGCAGTGGATTTTGAAACTTTATTTCAGGTTTCTCAGCAGTTTTTCAAGACCAATCATTCGAGCTGCTCCAGTTGGCTGCTGCGCTTGTATCTGCCAATGATGGCCGTGGCCTATACAAATAATAATTACGCGCAAGTGGTGCGACTTGGTGCATGTTTGCTCAAAGATATCGAGAAGCGACTCATAGCAAACGGAAACAATGTTACGCCCAGAGAAAAAAGTCTGAATTTGATGCTCTTGTTAGCCAGTTTTTGTCTTTTTTTATCACCGGTGCGGCTTGCAATTCCTTACATTTGTTGAATCGAAGTTAATTCTTAGCGGGCTGATGATCCTGATTTTTGCTTCCTCGGTTTTCTTCCCCGTTAATTCGGCAGGAAATCCTGGCTGTGTGTATTTCGTTTAGCACTCTCTTCAGCTGACTTACAGTATTCACACTCTTTCGTAATCAAACAAAATAAAATTAACGTGACTGTTTTAAAACTTCCAAAAATAATGAAATCCGATAATATGCCTCAAAAGTAATAGACGCCTTTTAGTGAATACCCGCTAAGACCGGCCAGAATTTGGACGGGTATACATTGCCCATGGTAGCAGCGTTAGACAATTCGGAGATAGCGACGATAAGTGACAGGATTTCCTCCTAGCTCACGCTCATTGGAAAAAGAGAATTATTCTATTCGCGATACGTTTTTCCTCGCATAATCATCAATCCTCCTTGAAAAACAGCGGCATTTGGAAGCAGCTCGAGCAGAACAATTTTGTCTGCTAACCTGCTGGCAAAACTTTCGGTGGCTGTTTTCCCTAAGAGTTGCTTGCAAGCAAAATAATTTTTATCCACTTTTCGGAAATTCCAGAGCAGAAGTGGTCAATATTATTGACAATTGCTTTTTTTTCAGGAGCCGGCATGGATTCAATGGTTCATACATGTCTTTCATGGATGGTAAAAGCCCTGATTGAGCTGGGCCGTTCGCAAGTCATTATGGGACTTTACACTTGGACTGAAAAATATTACGGTCAACGTTTCGATTGGGTCAAATGCTCTGCTGAAATGGCATCTGGAAGGTAAACTGTGAAAATTTTTGCCCATTTGTGGGGTTTTTTATTGATATGGGATTTTTTTTTTTTTGAGCGAATATTTTGTGCTGTGCTTAATTGATTTGACACGTGGACCACTGTGTGGCATGATATGTCCCCACCCATTTGTAAATTTGGGTCTTAACGATGATTTATGAAATAATAACAAATAAGGCCGATTCGTAAGCTTAAAACGAGTGAACGGTCCAAAGAAACCACGATGCGGAACGGCCGGACTCAGAAAGTTAAAACGAAGGGTGGGATAAATTTGTTAAAATAATTTGCAGTCATTGGTAAGCCGGATCATTATCTTTAAAGCAAGCGGGCGGTCCGAAGCATGAAAAATGTGGAATGGCCGTAGCCCGAAAATTTTAACCTAGGATGGGGTTAGTTTAATAAGTTATGATGGAAGAAAATAGTAGGGTTGATCATATGGCACAAAACCGTATGACATGTTAAAAGTTAAAACTTTCGCCACATTTGCTGTTTGTGAGTGACGCCAGCAGTCGGAAGTATTCCGATGGTAGTAAGTGCTAAAAATAAACATCTACTGACAGGGCTGTCAATGGCTCTATAAGT